CTGCTTTAACTGCACAGCTTTCCCAGCTTAGAAAGGTGTTTTTCACTTTTGATGCAGGTGCTAAATCAAGAAATGTGGGTCAGCAATGTTGCAGGGGCAGTCCTTGTCTCCAACTGAATTATATTCATTTATTATCAGACTGCCTACATTCCAATGAAAAGTCTCTGTTCACTCATCAGTATTTAAATTTAAATATATACGTAAAGATCCATCTAAGTATACCTTGTTATTTCTTTCACAGTGTTATATTTCCCATTACTCCCCAAAGCTCCATTGCTTTGCCCTTGATTGTAGATCTCCTTTCCTAGCTCATCTCTCATTGGGCTCATTAGAAGTGTGATTTACGGCTGTTTTTCATTATAAAATGAACAGTGAAATAAATTAAAAGAATGACTTCCTTCTTTAATATGAAACAGTTCCTTTTGAGGTGGATAGTTTTTTTACAAGTGCATAGTGGCCCCTTCTCTCCTTTTTTCACATTTATGTGCAATTTTTCTTTTTTAATAAATTCAGTCTCTTTACAAGTTTATAAATTTGGTTAGAAGGTTACACTGTTTCTCGGGATAAGGCCAAAGCTTTCTCAAAGCTGCACTGATATGGATTTCCATCTTGAATTATACTGCTGTACAATTCCTTATCAGATTTATAAAACTGCCAAAGTCTGAATTTGTTTTGCTATTACAAAAATTACTGAAGTTATGAGGATCTCAAAGTTCTCTGGCTAGTTTCCAATGTTCTTGTTTTGGTACTTGAAGAAAACGTTCATAGTGACTCCAGGGATGCATGCGGTGGTGGGATTCAAATAATTTAACAACTGGTTCTATGCCCTAATGACTGGCTGTGTGGGCATGGCCATGGTCGGCATGGCCAGCAGGTGTGACAGGAGCACTCAGCCTCCTGCACCTCCCTAGGAGCAAAAACAGGCTGCGGGAGTGCTATACCGCATCCCCACACTCTATTTGGGCCTTGGAGGCCTCCCTGCACTTACCTGGGAGCCAAAATGGGGTGCGTGGGCATTCCTGGAAGGGAGGGGAGGCTGGGGAGGGGCGGGGTCAGCCAGCAATTTAACTACTGGTTCACCCGAACTACCCCGAACCCGGCTGAATCCCACCACTGGATGCATGTAATAGCAATAGCACTTAGAGTTATACACCGCTTCACAGTGCTTTACAGCTCTCTCTTAGTGGTTTCCATAGTCAGCATATTGCCCCCAACAATCTGGGTCCTCCATTTTACCGACCTTGGAAGGATGGAAGACTGAGTCAACCTTGAGCCACTCGGAATCGAACTCCTGGCAGTGAGCAGAGTCAGCCTGCAGTACTGCATTCTAACCACTGTGCTCCCACAGCTCTATTAATACCACGCAGAGTCCTTGAACAAAAAAATGTACTGGTAGTTCTCATTTAGTAATCACTTTTTCAGCAACCATCCAAGGTGGCTAGGTGGCTCAGTGGCTAAGACGCTGAGCTTGTTGATCAGAAAGGTCGGCAGTTCGGTAGTTCGAATCCCTAGTATAGGTCTCCTGCATGAGCAGGGGGTTGGACCTTCCAACTCTGTTGACAGTGTTGAACGAGAATACTTATTATCTGTCCTCATAGTTTCAGCCATAGCATTCCTATCATTATGTGATTGAAATTTGGTATGACTGATAACCAGCTTGCAGTTACAATGGCCACAGCATTCCTTGGTCATTCTGATCATCATTTGCAGATTTCACTGCTTGTGTCCGACAAGTAAAGTCAATGAGGAAGATGGCAGGAGGTTGCAAATGGCGATCATGTGATGTGCTTAATGACCATGTGGGATTCACCTAATGACAGCAACTGGAACTGCCAGAACTGCTGGAACCGCCTATGTGGTCAAATGATGATGACATCATTTATGATTTATGAACACATTGCTTAGTGACAGAGTTCCTGGTCCCATCATTGTTAACCAAGAATTACTTATCACCACATGGACACAGCAACTGTTGAAGGTGTTAAAATTACTTATAATGTGGTCATGTAGGTTTCTTACATGAATTGGTCATGTAGGTCTCTAATGAATTGGAGCTTACATGAATTGGTCATGTAGGTCTCTAATGAATTGGAGCTTTGACATCATGACATACATCATTTTTGGAAAACGATGCCACCCTAAATTAGTACATTTAGCTTGTCGTGATGACTGTTTTGTGTTTTCTTTCTGTCGGAAGGTAACTCTATTTTGCAAAACCTTTATTTCCCTCGTTTAATGGGGCATGTAAAATATGTCTTATAGTCTCTCCTTTGATAATAGGGTATAAAATAGCTTAGTATAAATTGGGCATCTTGACTGTTGGTGTGCTGCAGAAGAATATAATTTGTCTAAGTGTAAAAGTAAGAGGCAAATACAGTATATTATTATTTTTGCATTCTTGTGTTCATTTGGCAATTACAGTTGCCCCAACTTATCATTTCTATGAAGTCTTTCATTCCTGTTGTTTTTCACCTCATGCAAAAAAGCTGCAACTTAAAACCTGCCGATATGCATGTTGTGTGTTGCTCACCCAACATTCATATCAGCAGGTTTCAAGCTGCAATGTTTTTGCATGAGGTGAAGGACAACAGGCTCGCTCACAGAGGCAGATTCCACTCGCAAAAGCCAAATGATCTGACACCTGACTCTTACTTTAAAATGGAGAATGGGACAAGATAGTTCACTACTGTGCCTACTAATACAGGGTATCAGCCATAAGGTAGACCAGACCAAGAAAACACTACAAAAAGACTAAAATAACCATTGAGAGTAGCTACAATAACAGAATCTTCCATTCCGGATTATGTTTCCCCCTCCATACTCTCTTGTGAATTAGGGAGGTATCTCTTTGAGCCCATTACACTTATCTTCTTTCTGTTGTTAACTTCAGATATGCTTCACCCCTTCTTGCTTAAATAACATTAGTATTCTTTAACCCGGAGATATGCAAGTTCTGTTACTAAAGAAATGTTATTTCTTTAGTAACAGATCTTGCATATCTCTGTCAGGAGATATGCAACTTGCACAACTTGTGCAACTCCAAGTACATAATGTGAGTGGATCAAGACATGTACATGCACAATGCCTTTTCCAGAATCTGGATTCTCTACATGTCTAGTCTCTGAATTGGATCCTGTCTCAAAGGGGAAGAGTGTATTGATTAGAACTGGTGAGTTCATGAGCTGACTCCATCATCATAATCTTCCTAATGTCTGCTGTCAGAGGTGCTTCATGTTATTTGTTATTAGCCAAATTTGATGGCATAGGTATATTGAGGAAATCTTATTTCAGATAGATCCTGATTGGAAGATAGTCAAGAAGAGAAGACAATGACTAGGACTAAGATAACACATCTTAAACATATCTACTCTGAAATCAGTTAAACGGAGCATGCTTCCAAGTAATCAAGTCTATTATTTCAAGTAGAAATTTAGTCTCTAAATTTAATAAAACGAAGAACATTTTTGTCTGTTCTGAGGCCAATGCCAGTCAATGTTAATGGAACAATCTCTGAATGTTGATATAATGAAATCATTTGTCCACTTTATCCACATTATTTCTAAAAGTATAATCATGTTTCACCATTAGGCTTATAATATTTCCTTTATACCTATGGTTTCTAGAATATATAAAATTGTTTAGGTATTTCTGAGAGTTTACATTAAAAAGCAATCACGCTTCTTACAATACAAAGGAAAGCATGACTAAGAAGGGAAGAAAGAACAGGAAATTACAGAAATTTTTAGTTTGAGATCCTATTTAAATACAGGTAGTCCTTGACTTACGACCATAATTGAACCCAAAATTCATGTTGCTAAGTGAGAAATGTGTTAAGTGAGTTTTGCTCCATTTTGCAACCTTTCCTGCCACATTTGTTAAGTGAATCACCGCAGTTGTTAAATTTGTAACATTATTATTAAATGAATCTGGCTTTCCCATTGACTTTGCTTGTCAGAAGGACACAAAAGGTGATCACATGACCCGGGGACACTGCAACCGTCATAAATATGAACCAGTTGTCAAGCATCTGAGTGTAAATCCCATGAACATGGGGATGCCGCAATGGTCATAAGTGCAAAAAAATGATCATAAGTCACCTTTTTGAGCGCCCTTCTAACTTCAAACAGTTACTAAATGAACTCTTGTATATCGAGGATTACCGGTACAGAAATGGGAATAGATTACTGAAAGGTTATGTAGGAGAAGGAATAATTTAAGGACCAAATATGGCATAAGAGAGAATGGGGAGGAAACCCTAAATTTCTTAAGCTGTACATTTCAGGGAGTTCTTTGTCCATGTTCACATCTGCTGAGAATGCTTGCTTGCTATTTTATCCTCTTGTGACTATTCCATCAGAAAATCTATGAATACAGGAAATACTTGAAAATAGTCAATAAATAGGTACCAAATGTATCTAAACGGTGTTATGTTATTAATACCATATTTAAATCCAATACCTTACTTCTGAAAAGGACTTGTTACCATAGAAAGCACCACTGGTACAAATAAATGAGAAAATATTAACAGTTTTAAGCAAGATGCAGGTATACCAGAGGTGGGTTTCAGCAGGTTCTGACCAGTTCTGGAGAAACGGTAGGAGAAATTTTGAGTAGTTCTGGAGAGCCGGTAGTAAAAATTCTGACTGGCCCCACCTGCATCTATTCTCTGCTTCCTGAGTCACAGCTGATCGGGAGGAAATAGGGATTTTGCAGAAACCTTCCCCTGGATTGGGGAGGGAATGGAGATTTTACAGTATCCTTCCCCTGCCATGCCCACTGTTATATTGTTGCAATATATATTGAGGCACTCACGATTGTAACTGTAACTCTTTATTGCTTCACCATGTAACTGTAACTGTAACTGTAACTGTAACTGCTCAGCTAGAAAATGGCAGTTGACAGCTCTTATATATGAATAGCTCAACTGCTCTAGCCAATGGCTAACAAAAGAATCTTCCGTGCTGATGACGTCATCAGTTTCATCCAATAACAACACTACAACTATAACTAAACCCTGCTAGACATAACACCCCTCCCCTCCTGGATCACGCAAGTGTAATCGTTAAGGTACGCTGGGCGCCTGCGTGTTCGTCCGGACCGTCGTAGTTCAGGTTCGATAACAGGTGCAGCTGATTCCGGCATGGATGGAGAAGAGAACGGTACAATTGACGGATTGTTCCCTGTAACAGACTTCCCAGCCTCGGACTCTACCTCAGGTAACACCCACCAAGCCCCACCCACAGAACCGGTAATAAAAAAATTTGAAACCCACCACTGAGGTATACATGTCCCATTGTCCCTGCCTACCATTCTATTTAAATCAAGGTTACGAAAAAGGAAAAAAATATCTTTGTAAAGACATTGATACCTGAAAGAGCCAATATGGAAGTCTGATGAGAAAGGGAAACGGGCACAGGATGTTTAATTTAATTTTTTTAAAAACCTGAAATTAGAAATGTGGAGGCAAGTCTCACAACCCCAGATTATTCTGGGGCAATGTGTTTGACTTCTTAAAATCAGATTTTTTTTTTTTAAAAAAGAGCAAGGACCAAATGTCCTCTTCTGCAGTTTCAGTTTGCTGAACAAGACAGCTCCTTCAACCAGAAAAAAATTATACTCCTGTCATTTCTGCAAGACTCCCACCTTAAAGCAATAAGTTATAGGAAGATGAAACCAACAAAGCGAGCAATATCAAGGATTACTACAAGTGGCACAGCAAGACATTAATTAATCACCTGTAATAGTCCTTCAAGCATCAGAACTGAACATTTGACATTGTCTAGACAAGTTTAGTGGTCTTCTGTCCTACAGACTTGAAGTTTTTATGCTGATGGTTTCTTTAAAGCACACTGGAAGATGGTCGAATTCCAAGTGAGATTAGAAGCTGTTTTACACAGGCGGGTAAAAAAAATGAAGCACTTCCTTTCAGGTCAGTGTTAGCCATATCCTTGTTTGAGTGGTATTTTGCTTATTAGCAGCTTGCTAAGTCTCCTCTTTAAACATGGATGTTGTAATTGGGCAATGGACTCATTTATTAACTTACTTGCTAATTAGCAATAGAATTTAGACTTATATACCACTTGATAGTGCTTTATAGCCTCTCTAAGTGGTTTACAGAATCATCATATTGCTCCCAACAATCTGGGTCCTCATTTTACCGATCTCAGAAGGATGGAAGTCAACCTTGAGCTGGTCAGGATTGAACTCCTGGCAGTGGGCAGAGTTAGCCTGCAATACTGCATTCTTTTTTTTTTTAATTAAATAATTTTTTATTTGTTTAAAAGTACAAACAAAACAGAACTAGTGACAACAAAACATATAGAACAAAACATGTAAACAAAGATTTCAAATATACATTTTGTCAAATATATATTGTCAAATAAACAACAGTAATGTACTGCATTCTAACCACTGTGCCACGAAGGGTTTATTTCCCCAGTCAATGGCAGCCCATAGAATGAAAGCAACATCTCATCTATGAAAGTATATAAAAATGTTATAGCTATTCATTTTTTTTCCCTTAAAAAATGTTGTACTGTATGTTATTTAAAGAGACAATATGGAAGTTCCAAACAATGAAAATAAGAAGGTAGATGTTAGGAGAAAATGTCTGAAAATGCAGTCTTCTCCAGTCCTACATATTTTCTTCTTCTTTTTGTTATATACATAAAAAAATACTAGAGTGAATTTGGCAGATGCAGTTCCATTCGCTTGCTTTTAAAAAAATGTTTTCCTTTTGACCAGTCAAGTGAACACTCCGCCAAAGTATCAGTGGGTATAATAGACTAATGGGAAATTATTTTCTCTATGTGGCTGCAAAAACAAAAACCTCAAAGTGCGTAACTCCCCCTTCTGTCTTCAAAGCCATCCAAATACACTCAGTTTGAAGCTCTTTCTGCCTTTTGGAGCTTCTAATCTACTTTTGGAAGCTCTCCTTTTTTGTCCTTCTTTCTATGGTCTTTGGAACACAGAGATGGCCCGAATCCATAAACAATTTCAAACTATGCAGAGTGCTTAAAATGGAAATGAAGAACTGGGGTTGAATAGCCTGTACTCCTCTGAAAAACAACAGGGAATATGTTTTCTATTAACATTGCCAATCATTAAGACAAAAGACATGATGAGATATAAGAGGAAGAGAGAAGAAGGCCAGGATGAGGGGAATTGCTTTCAAACCAGTTGCTTCAACGTTGCCATTCTTCTGATATGTACCTTCTATAAGCTTGAAAATGTTGAATTTGAAATCCTTGAATAAAATGAAAGGAACCAAGTTTTAAATTGCACTTAACTTTTATTACATTCCCACCTTCCTGATTAAAACCAGGAAGTAATGACGACTGGGCGGGTGGGAGGAGCCTCGTGGTGTCGTCGCTACCGGTTCAGTCAAACCAGTCTAAACCAGTAGCATTTCACCCCTGCTCTAATAACTCTTAAGAATTCAGCATCTGACCTAAGGAAATCTTTCCCACCATGGTCTTCTCTCAGGGCTGTAGCTTTTACAGAAAGGTGTGGAAATTAACAGCCACACAATTGCTTTTGTGTGCTGAATGTTTGTACTGTTTACCATCAAAGGAAAAAAAAAATGAGTAAAAAATGCAAGGTAAATAAGAGTGAATATCATAATAAAGGCACAATAAAGAAAGATTGCAGCTCCTAAGTGGAGAACAGGCTGTGAAAAACTCAGCCCCATCTTTATGCATGAGATACTTCACCAACTTAACTGTCTTCCAGTACTTGAGTGGCTATCACGAGAAAACAGGGATGATTTATTCTACAAAGAATTAAGGCGAATATCCATGTCCCTGGATAATGTTGCAGAATCCAATCTGGGACCAGAGGTTTAGTCTTCTAAGCTTTCAGACTTGTTATGAGCCCACCCTCTGGGAAGTTCTCTTTAACAGATTGTGTGCTTTGGGCTCTTCTGTGTGTGGTATTTATATGGTGCCTGTTGTGTGTGCCTTTTTAGTTGTTGATTGGGGTGTTGATGGCTGGCTATTACCATATTTTTCAGAGTATAAGACACACTTTTTTCTTCCGTAAAAGAGGGTGGAAATTTTGGTGCATCTTATACACAAAATATAGCCATTTTTGGCCTCCTGAAGCCCCGTCCCACTTGTCCCATTTTTGTGTGGTTGGGGAGGGCAAAAATGCCCCCGTTTTTGCAAAAAAATGGGCCCATTTTTTGCAAAAACAGGGGCGTTGTTGACCTCTCACAAGCTCCAGGAGCACTCTGCAAGCCTTCCAAACCTTCTGTGTGCCCCGTTTTTTGCAAAAATGGCCCCATTTTTTGCCCATTTTCACAAAAATGGGGGCGTTTTTGCCTTCATCAGCCCCCAGGAGCACTCTGTAGGCCTCCCAAAGCCTCTGCACACCCTGTTTTTCACAAAAATGGGCAAAAAACGGGCCTGTTTTTGCAAAAAATGGGGCGTGCAGAAGGTTTGGAAGGCCTGCAGAATGCTCCTGGGGGCTGGGGAGGGCAAAACCTGTTTTTTCTTACTTACCTCTTCGAAATCTTGGTGTGTCTTATACATTGGTGCATCTTATAGTTCGAAAAATATGATAAGTCATTGGCTGTTGTTTCCTTGTGCCGTCAAGCCCCTGCCTCATAAGTACTTGATAAACTGGTGGTAAATTATGCTCATTTATTCTCCAAAGTGCGAGAGGGCAAGACAAGAAGTAATCAGTGGAAGCTTGTTAAAAAGAGATCCAACCTCTTTTTAAGAAAGAATAAATTTTCTGACAGTGAGAACAATTAATCAATGGTTCTAGCTTGCCTCCCGGAGTTATAAGTGCTTCCTCACTAGAAGTTTTCTAAAATAAACTGGACATCATTTGACTGGGGTGGTTTAGGTTTCCTGCGTTGAGGAGGAGGTTGGACTAGAAGATCTCAGAGGTCCCTTCCAGACCTATGATTCTATCTTCTGTATTAACATTGTCTTTCTTTTATGGCTTTCAGTTTCCAAAGTTATCAGCTGTGATTACCAGCTAGCAAAAAGTTTGCACTATTCTGCTTTACAGTGACAGACAGAAACTTGTACAATTAATCTCAGAGGACCTGTCCAAACTTGTACAATTTTTATTATTACATTGTTTTACTATTCCAAATGAGAGAGAAAAGAGGGGAACAAGAAAAAAAGAGTTTAGCTGGACAAAAAATAAAAATAAAACTGGAAATAACAAAAATACATTCTGCCACACATACAGAAAATAATTGAGTTTAATGTTAATGAGTATTAAACTCTGCATCTCTTGAGAAGAACCACTGCTGGAGTTCTTGTTTGGGATCCATATATGATTCTTATCTTTTGGAAGGACTGTTAAAAGCAGATTTTAGATAGAATTTAGTTTTGGATCCTTCCTTACACTTCCAGGTTTTCCCACTCTTTCTTTTAATACATGTTCTTGTAAAGATGAAAAGGGGCCAAAGACGGCTTCTTGTACTGTATCAGTCCCTTTTTGACCTTAATCTCCTTCTTTTTGTTTCAGGTTTCTTTAGGATCCAGAAAGAATATTGCAAATATGACCTGGGAGTTCTGCTCCATGGGTTTCATATGGTGGAGTATTCTCATTATTATTAAGATTTATTGGATTTTTACGTTATGAAACAAGTCTAGAAATGTTCAAAGAAATCAATTTGGACCTGATTACTTATGGCACAAACTTTCTCCAATTGTTCTCTGCCCGTCCAGTAAGAGTGGACACAGTTGGTATCCTCAAGTTTTCCTTAATAAGAAATGTCGCCTTAATGGATCCCAGAGGCAGCATTCCTTCTGAGGTCCTTATGGACCTGACTTTGCTATCATTCAGAAGATTCTGAAGACTTTACTCTTCCAGTAGTACTTGAATTGGGACAATTTGTGAATCTATTATTATTATGGGTGTTTGGCAGCGGTGGGTTTCCAATATACTTACCACCAGTTCGCTGTGCATGCGCACGCTTGCTTCACGTGCGTGCCTTCCACACATACTCTCCACCTTCTGTGCATGCACTTTGCTTGCTCGTACCTAAATAGGACGGCATAGAGCCGGGGTGGATGGGTGGGGACGATCTCCGCTATCGGTTTGCTTGAACCAGTACAAGCCAGCTGAGTACCACCTCTGGTGTTTAGAGTTTTGCTGGAGTCCTTGACTTTGTTCTTTCGTGGCTAGATGGTGTTTTTAGCCCACTTTATATCTGACTTGAGTTTCTTCATAATCCTAGAAACGAAGTAAATAATAACTGTGCAAAATCTCTACAAGGTGACGTGATTCTGGGGTATCTTTTACTTATGCACGACAGAGATAGAACTACGCCTGATTTCTGCTTGTTCTCTAGATTTATAAGGAAATGTTTCCTTTGCTTGAATACTCTGAAGATAGCAGTCCAAGTTTCTGACCTCCATTCAATTCTCATAAAAGTCAGAGTCATACCTGAGGACACCAACAATGCTTTTCATGGCTTGCCTTGCCCTGATCCACTCAGACTGCCACACACACCACACCGTGATTGAAATAATCGAAGCTAAACATACTAACCATCAATGTGGAATGAAAATGTGAATCCAAAAAATGAAATTAAAAAAAACAAAAACCCTTTAATAGGAAATAAGTCATGGATGGCTGTTTAAAGGTATTGAGCTGGAAAAGTAATATAATTTGATTTCATCTGGACTGCCAGGAACAAGAACAGCATATTGTGTTCTGTCCTTTTCTTCAGCAGACGTCGTGGCATTTACAGCAGCCATGTTCTCCTACAAAGACGGCAGGGTGGCTCCCACACTTCTTTGCCTGTTTCTCCCATTTCTCTCTATTTCTGAATGTTCTTTTCTAATTAAACATTCTGAATCCTTCAAGAGTTTCAAGCTCCTTCAAAGATATCCCTTTTAATGATTACCATGGCAACTGTATCACCTACAAAAGAGTTTTTCTACCTTTCTTCTGAGTGCTTGGTGGAAATGCTAAAGAATGGAATATTACAGCCACATCAACATAGCAAATGACTGTCAGAACAAAGAGAAGCTTTTAAATATTTGCCTCTTGTGACTTTTTCCTGAATAATTACCATTTCTTACTTATTGAAAAGAAGAAATCAATAAAGGAGTGCACACACACTTGTTTGCGTGTGCATGCATGCCTGGCCAAGAGAAATGGTTGATTGCCAAGAGAACAAATTACCTTTTACTAGTTTTTCTCTCTTTATTCAATCTTACATTTATCTTGTGTTTTCTTGACTTCAGCAGTAGCAATTCTTTTTTTCTTCTGTCTGCATTGTTGCATTCACTTCTTGTCCAAACATTTGAAACAGATAAAGTAACTGTTTCTCGTTTATCTTCGTACCGTTTAACTGACATACCAATCTGCTTTCCCTTTGTAATGATTTGTCTATTTGACACAGAAAAGCTTTGCTCCTGTTGGTTGCCTTTGTTGTTTGACTATCTGACTATAAATACTGTTTGTAAGTCTCTCTCTAACAATGCTTAGGGCCTCTCTTAGTTGATGACGTGGTTAAAATTATCAGAACAAGAAGTTGAGATTTAGTATATATAAACAGTTCAGTGTAGTCCTGAAAATTAAAACACATGAACATGAAATTTGTGAATGTATTTTCTTCAAAAATATGAATGGGATATCTTAAATCAGAAGCCATATTTTAGCTTAGACCAAGCCAAAATACAAATGAGATAAAATATGGGTCTATAGCAATCCTAGACTATGTCTGAAATGATAGAATGAAGTAGACAACCCAAAATACAAGACCTGGGATAAATCAAGCCCACACCTGTGACATTTTCTGCTTTCTTTAAGAATTTGTTGAGGACGGGATTTGCAATCAGGATATATTTATCATTGGAGAATGCAAATGGAGACATGTGAGTACTCTGCTATATATACACATTAGGGCTATGGATAGATACCTGACTCACTTCAAAGTCAGAGTCTAAGTCTCAGGAAATAGCCCACCACTTCCCATCCCTCAGGTTGGTCCAGGGGAAGTCATTATCAGTTCACTCAGTTTCAGTATTTATTTTGGGAAAGTGGAATCCCATACTTTCTTCGAGGATCCCACTTGTATTGTTAAAAAAAAAAAAACACTCCTGAGAAAATGATTGGAATCAGATTCCTCTCTAACTCCTCCCTTTAAGTTAGTTGGCCAGTTATTATCTGGCCCAGGCCCAGAGATGACAAAGCAAAATCCAACTGAGTCCAATCCACTATTTGCTTACATGTAGTGGACAGAATCTTGCCAAAATAAAGGAATAATCTTCTAACCTACTACATATATCCTGAGAGATTCCAGGATGTGACTACATTGAACCTCTTCTCCCTTCTCTGTCCAGCTCAGGACTGTGAAGTCTTTTATTCTGGGTGTCTCTATAGGATGCCCAAAACATCTCCCTCTGTTCCTGCAGGTGCACATTTTATCATAGTTATTTAGAATATTGCTACAGATAAGATCAAGCTTGAGAGTATGCAAACATTTTTGAGAGGGAGAACAGTGGTGATATTCCTTTACAAATGACTATTTTGATGTTCCTCCAAGTACTCACCAGTCCTGGTATCTCCTCCAATGGGATTGCAATCTCCAAAGCATTGTCTCAAAGGCATTCTTATTTTTCTTTGATGTCTTCAGTTGTTGCCAATTCACTACCTCAGAATTACAGGTTTCTATCTGACATTTTTGTCGAAAATGAGTTAAGAGTGTGACAAGGTTCTATCTACCATGACTTAATTTTTTAACAACTTATTTTGTAAAATGTCTAAATAGATTCGCCACAAATAGCAAAATTACAAGGTTCTATCTACACTATTGCATGAAAACTCAGAATTACAGGGTTCTATTTGCAGCAGCCAATTGTGCTTGGCTGCTCCCATGTGACGGAGCAAGGATGGAGCCTGCAGCGCCCAGCATTGCCTCCGTTTCTGGACACATGAATACTGAAATAATGTCTCTTTTCCACGATATGGAAGCAAGTTCAGACTTATATGAACCAAGTGGATCCGAGTATGTTCCAGAAACTGAAGATGACCAATCATATATGGAACTTTTAATTGAAAACTAGTGAGTATTCTGTGCTTTATACCATTCATTAACACTATTGCAATGCAGGCCTGGAACCCTGCATTTTGATCCTAGTAATAATTGTGGCTATGAGTCACACTCGAATATGCATATTTCAGGGCACTGAATTCTGAATTCAGTGAATCAGGGCAATTCATGTTTGCAAGGATTTTTATCTAAGAACACTGGCAATCAGTCAAAAGCCAGTGTACAACTACTATTGCCAGAAAGATTTAGTAACAGATACCCCACCTACAGACAAGAGGGGGAAACACCCTCATAAACAATTCTTTGCTACAGCCAGACAAACAGTAATTGACCATATTAATTCATTTCCAAGGGTGGAGTCACATTATTGTCATGCTAGATCTAAAAAAGAGTACCTTGAATCTTCATTGAATATAAGCATCATGTACGAGCTGTATAAAGAAAAAAGCAGTGAAACGGGAACTGAACCAGTCAAACTCTCTTACTATCAAACTGTATTCAACAATGAATTTAACCTGGTATTCCATGTACCCCAAAAAGATTGCTGCAACCTTTGTGAGGAACATAAAATTGCCACTCCATGTGTTCAAAGCAGTTTCAGTACAGTAATGTGCCATATGCTAAAGTTTCACAACTAAAATTCACCCAGACCCATTCAACAGTAAGGTTCAAGACAACCTTTGCTGTGGAAAATTGGAACACGGTCACCATCCGTGCCTTTGAAAAGAAGACGAGGAGGGTTCGTGGGAAACCTGCTTCGCCAACACCGCCTGCCATATCTGTTACATTGCCTGTGCCTAAGACAGAGTTACAGGTACACACACTATCCAAAGCAAAACAAGATGACATAGAAAGTATGCCCAAATGGATGCCTAAAGTCGATAATGACTATCACTGCACCATTTTGAAGAAACCGTTATGCAAAACTGGGGTTAAATAGTAATTTCGGTATTAAGACATGCATTTATATTCTCACATTTAATGCTGAACCTTCAAATAGTAATTTACAAGCATTTTATGGTCACAAAAACAAATTCGAGTTAATATCAAGTTGAATTCAGTGCTTTTTTCAAATTTTTTAAAATTAAACTTTGTAATTCTCATTTTTATGGTGTAACTTAGTGTGACAAGGTTCTATTTGATATTTGGAGCCTCCAGTATGACCCCAAGATGAGTCACCATTGGCCTCATTTTTTTTCTCGCATGCACTATTTGTTGGTAGGCTCACATACCAATTTTTTTCCTTCTACGTACAATGGGGTAACTAGTACAATTTTTCAAATGTTTAAGGCTCATTTCCCCAAAATTTGTCACGACACACATAGAACCCTGTAATTCTGAGGTAGCAAATTAGGAAAAGAAAGAATCCATCCCTTTGATCTGACCAGACTGCCATTAATTCTCTGATCCCAAGGATTGTTCAGAGTTTAGAACAAGACAGTTGATGATTGAATGCAATAGTCCCCCTCTCCATCAAGGTATCCTCACAATGGTTGTTACAATGGAATGGAATGATTTACAACAGAATGGACGTTTTCAATGACCAACTGGGCTGAAATTTCAGAGAGTGTTTTGAATTGAGACATGGTGGATTAGAGACATTCACTATCCTTCATGCGAATATCAACTATCCTGATTTACCCTAGACTACGGTTTTGTTCTGACTACACATCCATTTCAACTTCTTTTAGCTTGAAACTTACTGACAATTATTTATCATGGTAGGGATTTCCCAGGCTAAATGTTCCAAGAAGTAAACATTCCAGATGACCCAAGAGCATCCCATTCCTACAATTTCTCCAAGACAATTTGAACTGGAAACAATCCGTGGTGTTTCCAAATTGTTTTCACTTTGGAGTATGAACTCCAAAAATTGGTAAATCATCATTGAATAGCTGGCTCTCTTCCTGAAATGTTATTATTATTTTTTTTACATATCTCTCAATAGAGTGCTATTTGAAAAAGAATGAAAATGGTGAATTCTCAGTGAAATCAGAGGTGAATGCAAATGAGAATTATAATCCTTTAAACTCTTTCCTGCTTAGCCTATTCCCTTTTCTTTCTCTCTCTTATACTATCAAATGCTTCAACTCTCATATGCTTCATGTACTCTCCCTTCTATTCTTGCCAATCATTTACTTTATTATTCAACAGTAACAAAATGCCTTTCATTCTCTCTTTGAAATACAAACCACACTTATGATTCATTACAAATGTTTTTCAATTAACATTTCATAGTTCCATTCATTATTGAACATCTATAGTTCTCATTGAGTGGTTTGTTAACTTCTATAAACTTTGTAGTTCCTCTAGGTGTGTTGAAACCTCCCTTTTGGTTCTCAGGGGTTATCGGCATGATCCATTATCCACTATGCTGCATCCACCTTTTAGCTAGTCAGCTGTTAAGGTAGAATAGGATAGGATAGGATAGGATAGGATAGGATGGGATGGGATGGGATGGGATGGGATGGGATGGGATAAAATAGAATAGAATAGAATAGAATAGAATAGAATAGAATAGAATAGAATAGAATAGAATAGAATAGAATAGAATAGAATAGAATAGAATTCTTTATTGGCCAAGTGTGAATGGACACACAAGGAATTTGTCTTTGGTGCATATGCTCTCAGTGTACATAAAAAGACAAGATACACTCGTCAAGAATCACAGTGCCAGTCGTACAGTACAATAAGGAATCAAATCATACTAGGAAACAATATCAATATAAATATAAATCACAAGGATACAAGGAACAAAGTTACAGTCATGCAGTCACAAGTGGGAGGAGATGGGCGACAGGAACGATGAGAAGACCAATAGCAAAAGTAATGCAGCCTAATGTGAATAGTTTGACAGTGTTGAGGGAATTATTAGTTTAGCAGAGTGATGGTGTTCAGGAAAAACTGTTCTTATATCTAGTTGTCTTGGTGTGCAGTGCTCTATAGAATCATTTTGAGGGTAGCAGTTGAAACAATTTATGTCCAGGATGCGAGGGGTCTGTAAATATTTTCACAGCCCTCTTTTTGACTCGTGCACTATACAGGTTCTCAATGAAAGACAGGTTGGTAGTAATTATTCTTTCTGCAGTTCTAATTATCCTCTGAAGTCTGTATCTGTCTTGTTGGGTTGCATAACCAAACCAGACAGTTATAGAGGCGCAGATGACAGACTCAATGGTTCCTCTCTAGAACTGTATCAGCAGTTCCTTGGACAATTTGAGCTTCCTGAGTTGGCACAGAAAGAACATTATCTGTTGTGCTATTTTGATGACATTTTTGATGTTAGGTGCCCATTTTAGGTCTTGAGATATGATAGAACCTAGAAATTTGAAGGTCTCTACTATTGATACTGTGTTGTCTAGTATTGTAAGAGGTGGTAGTATGGGAGAGTTTCTCCTAAAGTCTACCACCATTTCTATGGTTTTGAGTGTGTTCAGTTCCAGATTGTTCCGGTCGCACCACAAGGCTAGTTGTTCAACCTCCCATCTATATGCGGATTCATCATTGTCTTGAATGAGACCAATCAATGTTGTATTATCTGGA